GCTGAGGCCCCGGTGCCCTGGGGCAGGATGGACAGCGCCCACTGTGCCTGCCTGACTTCCTGTCCCCAAAGTTGGGAGCCTTTGGAAATGGCTCCCACATTTAAAAAATGTGATAGGGCACAGACACCAGGAGCAGAGGCACAGAAGAGTATAGAAAATACTGAAAAATAAGGAACAGTTATAACAAATCTCAAATTCTGGTTGCTGTTCTATCCATTCATTCTAGAAAAGTGTATCGAGACGGCTGCAAGCCAGCATTATAATTAGTGCTGGGGATAGAAAAATGTACCTGTGTCTTCAGGGAGTGTCTAGTTTAAGGGGAGGGCATCAAACATGTAAACAGTTGTCATACAGTGTGATACAGGCTGCTCCGTAGTAAGGGTTTGCGGAAGAAAGTAATTGCACTGAAGATGCAGAATCTCCCAGCCTGAGGGAGTCAGGAGAATTGTGGGGTACACTCTGCTTGGGATAAGTCTCAAAGCCCGAGCAGAGGTTTGCCAGATGGCCAAGGCGGGGCAGGCTAGCCCTGTGCTGCAAAGCACAGGGCAGACCGGTCGGACACTGGATCCACTGCTCCTGTGGTCAGTTCCTCTTCCTTTCCAGGGCAAAGCACTGAGTGCATAACCAAAAGTCAGAGGCGTCTTCCCCTGTATCTGTGGTAAGTAGGATCGAGAAGAAACAGCTCATGGATGTGGCGCATCACTGAAGCCAGGCTCAGCCCGTGAGGGTCCAGAGGGGCCTGGTCTGCTCAGCAGAGGGGCCCAAACCTCTTCCAGCCTTCAGCGCAAACTAAGTCATCAGCTTGTTTTTGAAAGCGTGCTTACCAGTCAGACGTGACCCTTAAGACAGAATTTCAGGCCATCCGTCCATCCAGTTTGCTGTCCTAACCCTTTAGGACAGACAAACCAACAGGTCCTTTGGGATGGACCCCTGAAGTGAGGGTAGAGACAGATTTGCCTCCACAGTAGGGCAACGGGGCCATGATGAGGGAAAGCCTGTGTTCTAAAATCTCTGCGCTCTGCATCTAGAAGACAAAATGGGTTACAAAGCCTTCTTCAAACCTTTCCCTGCTCTTCAGTTTGATGAAACTCTGACGGCATTTCTAACATTGGTTTCATTTGAGGACGCATCTGTCAAACGGCTCCCAGAAGAAACGGAGGGAACCTGTTAAACCATTGCAAGAAAAATGGTTGTAACCTCAGTAGAGCAACTTGGTCAAGGACTCCACTTAAAGAGAGTGAAAACTGACACATTTTAAAAGTACCAAGATATCACAGCAGTGGAAATAGTGAAACAGAAATGTTGAGGGAGAAAGGAGCCTGGGCATAACTGGAAAAGCAATCAAAAGCGCTTGATGTGTGCATCTCTGTACCGCCTTGTTCCAGAGTAGATTTTGCAGGGAGTTGGTTTCCTGGGCAAGTGAAGGGGCTGCTCTTTATGCACCACTTAGGTGCAGAGCACATGCTGCCACAGTGCTTGGAGCTGGGAGTGGGGCTGGCATCTGCTTTAGAAAAGCAGGCATCTGAGCAGGGCCCTCCCAGTAGAGACAGGCTCGTCCACTTCCACGTGGAGGTGACTGAGGAAGGACTGGTCGTGGCTGAGAAAGATGTTAGATTTCCTACGGCCTTAGACCACTGGGACTGGAAGCAAACAAACCAGTAAACAGCAGGGAAGAGTACAGGGCCCAGGAAGGCAAAAAGGAACTCCTGTCTCAACACTGATGGCCCTTCTTATAACTTGTCTCACCTGTCAGCCACAGCCCCATGGAGACTCACTCGATGCCCTCGGGTACCCTGGCTGCCTCCCATGTGTCGGCCCAAGCTGGCCGGTATGCAGACAGCCCCTCACTCTGCCACCAGCAGTATGTCCACAACATTCATTGGGTGCTTACTGCATATGAGGCTCTGTACATGTATATGATCTCTGGTCTCAGCATGCTGGACAATTCCCATCACAGAACCAGGCCTGGGAGGACACGTGATTCACATGGTGACAAATGACAGGTATATGAGCGAGCTCTGCGCTGTTTTATCAGTGGTGATAAAATGTTACCCACAATCCGTAAAGCGGGCAAGAATCCTGGAGCTGGGGACAATTCACTCTGGAATATTGTCCAGGCAAAGGAAGGTCAGTGAGCATTTTGAGAAATAGACATGGGGACAGGATTGAACGGAACTGAATTGGTAAATTGACACAGTCATAAATCTTATGCTTTTTAACACTTTTTTCATTAATTAGTGCCTTCCTATTGGTAACCATGGCCTTTATTTTATGGTGTTTTTAAGTAAGTGAAAATAAAATACCAATAAAATGTTTTTAAAAAAGTGTTGTGCCAACTGCACAATTTTGTTCCAGTACATATGGGTGGGGAGGGCCTGGGGGCAGGGACCCCGGGAATGGGGATGATGCTCTTTCTTGGTCATCATGCCCTGAACTTGATCTCACGTTTCCCTCTATTACATTTCAATATAAGCTGCACGAGAGGAGGCTGTGTCTCTTGTTAGTAGAGACAAAGCTCTGCACGCTTAGCAAATGGGCCTGTTACCTCACACGGCGATCTTTTTTTAAAACAATGTCTTTACTGATTTGAGAGAGGAAGGGAGAGAGGGAGAGAGAGAGAAATACCTATGACGAGAGTCATTGATCGCTGCCTCCTACAGGACCCTTACTGGGGATCAAGCCCACAACCCGGGTATGTGCCCTGACAGGGAACCGAACCCTGACCTCCTGGTTCCTTGGTCGATGCTCAACCACTGAGCCACGCCTCCCGGGCACACGGTGGTAATTTTTTATCCTCTTGCTTAGGAAGCGTGGACTTAGCTTCAAAATGAGGACTTGCCATCAGGGCCCAGTCCTGGCCACGCCCCATCTCGGCCCTTCCTGTGGAAGTTGCAGGGCTCCTTCCCCTGCCTCGGGGGCCGCTGGAGCAGTTTGGAGTTGGCAGGAGGAAGGGCTCATTTCCACCCGTCCTTGGGGAGAAGAATCTGGGTTAATCCTCAGGAAATGTTCTTCTCACCTATGGGCAATGATTTTAAAATAATTTTGTGTAGGATCCCTGATTCATCTTACCAATTCTATAATAAAACAGCCATTAAGATATTTTGTATATAGTCCCATTAAAAATTAGGATTCGATGCTTACTTTGTCTTCAAATCCTGCAAATGACTGAGCTGATTAAAGAAGACATTTTCCCCCTGGACTCTGAATTAACACAAAATAAAATTGCCCCTGCACTTTCAAGGGTACCCAGGAGGAGACGGGTGGGGGCGCACCATGTGGGCCTGCTGCCCAAGAGGGAAGGAGGACACTATGCAGGGAGGTGGCTACTGTCCCTCTGGCCCCATGAGCTCAGTTCTGATCAGATTCTAGTTAAGAGACAAGCATTTAAATGTTGTATCAGAAGCAAACTCTGTTGGAGATTTGAAGCAGAGGGAGGCGCTCTCCACAGGACAGATCAGAGATTATAACTAATATCCTGATGCGTGTGCTAAACAAATCCACACAGAACCTCGACTTTCTATTTGCTTTGATTTTCTTCCTGATGAATTTCTTGTCTTGGGCAAAAGTACACATATCGCCATTCTTAGTTTTTCTCTTTACTTGGACCCCACTCCAGAGTTTCTCTGCGTCTGTAAGCTTTTCCCTACAGTCCTCTGATGCAGAACCTTGTCTTCCTGCTTCTCTCTGGAAACCTGTGCAGCCCAGTCCTGGGGTCTGTCAGACCCACGTCACCCGCCACCATGTGTCCTTTTTTGCTTGACATGAACACACTCCCTTCCCCCTGCCTGCTGGAGGGCTCTGCGGGCCTTGCACCAAGAGCTAGTTATCTGGGGAGACAGTCAGCAGGCACCCCTGGAAGGTGTGAGAAGCATAAAGGAGGTAAAGGAAGGAGACGCTCAGCTGAGCTCAGAGCGGGTCTTCGATGGACCGGCCCTGAGGGTAATTTCAGCATTGCGGCCATTGTGCAGACAAGGCCTCCAGACACTGATTAGGCGAGGCCCACCGCCCCCTGGGACAAGTGTGTCTGTTTTCCTTCCCCACCCTGCGAGTCCTCCACCTGCGCAGGCCTGGCGCTGGGCCTCACCTCAGTGTCACAGAGCCCACAGCGGGACACTTATTCTGCCAACACCTGGGGGAAAGAGCCCTCCCAGTCCCCGGCTTGGGAAAGGCCTTCTGTTCCAGGAGCCTGGGGGCGATGCTGTCCTGGATGGCAGCTCTGAGCGCAGACGGGGCCCCTCAGTATCTCCCCCATCGCAGCGCAGCCAGAGCGGCTGTGCCCGCAGCGTGGGGATTCAGGAGGCCCCGGAGGCCTCTCCATGAGCCAACTGTGCCAGTGAGGGCGCCCCAGGGGCAGCAGCTAGACCGGCTGGGGCAGGGGGAAGGAGAGGGGGAGACCTGGGCTGGGGTCGGCCAGCTGCCTCCCACCATTCGGGGCCCTGAGCCCTTCCCTCCTGATGGCATCAGCCCCTCCCTGGCAGCTGGAACCCCGCTGTCCTCGCCAGCCCGCTGCGCCCACCCTGTGGTCCTCGGTGGCTCCAGCGGCGAGAGCTTCTGCGGTCTTGGAGCTGGGCCCGAGAGAGAGGCTGCGATGCGATGCGCTCGGGGTCCGCTTGGCCCGCGGCCCGGGGGCACCGCGCCCTCCTGGCGGC